GTGTGTGTGTGTGTGTGTGTTTTTTGGGCCACGTGCTTAAATGTGATTTGTGACATTATACATTTATGTTCCTGGCATACTCCACAAATAAGCTGGATGCTTAACCCACCCCCGCCGGGTGAATAGAAATCCCTGAGCATAATAAACTCTGGTGATTTCTGGCAACGGCCAGACACTGGGCGCAGGAGTCTGCAACATCAAGCCGGACGTCCCGCTCCACGTGCCCTGGCATGTCGCCATACATACAGGCTCACCCCGCAGACCAAGCATTTTGTTATGACGCCGGTGCATGTGACCCATCCAGGTCAGGTTAACCCCTTGGTGATGGGTTAAGAAAACTAAAAAAAAAAAAAATCTACACTCTGGCAATCAATGGCAGCGCGCCAACTTTGAACGCGGGAGCTCAGCACATCAAGCCAAATCACCAGCTCACCGCACTTTGACGTGCCGCCACGGCATACAGCCGCACACCACATTTCAAACGGTTTGTTTTCAGACCTATAGGCATGACCCGTTGGGAAGGGGTTAAGATCAGTCAGTGTTGGCAGTTCTGAACTCTTAAATTGTTTCCAATTTGGTTAAAATACATACACTTGGATAACAATATATTGTAATATATACTGCTTAAACTATTTCATCCTGCATTCCATCTTAACTATCTATTTTGGCCACCTCACAACAGCAAAGTAAGGTAGCTAGATATATCAGACCTGTATGTACAATGATCTATATTTAAAAAATCTTTTGTTTATCCTAAAATGCATCTTCATATTTATTGCATATTCATTATTGCAATTCCATTACTTCTTGAAGAATATATTGAGCTATTTCTATAACACCAAAATCTTTATTTAAAATATGTTTTTATCCATTTGTATTACCAAAGCACAAAGCTTGCCGGCTTTAAATTTCCAGATAAATTATATTGAAAAGAAAATACCTATTCCATATAACATCACAACCTACTAAAGTATGCTTTCTTCAGGAAGTATTAAATGACATATTTCTGGTGTATTTTGTATAAAAAAAAAAAAAAAAAAAAAAAAACAAGAATATTTACTGTATTTTCCTTATTACTTATATTCAAAATTACTGTGGATTGCCTTTTAGCCTGTAACAATCTGTTCTAATAAAGTGGAACATTTAGCATCCAGAGAATTTTAAACTTAAAGCCATGGAGGGACTTGTCTCACCCTCCATCCTTAAGCTAAAGGCCTGGTGTGTGTGTGTGTGTGTGTGTGTGTGTGTGTGGATCTGAGGCAGGTAAGGGATGGGGAGGATATGTGTATGTATATGTGTGCGTATGCGTGTGTGCGTGTGCGTGTGTGTGTGTGTTTATACATGTGTGTGCTTGTGAGTGTGTGTGTGCTTGTGCATGTATGTGTTATAAATCTAATTCCTTAAATATGAATTAACCCAATATCAGCTGGTTTATATACAGTCCCCTTTAGATTTTAGTGAGTTTTATTACATACAGATGGCTCCATGTGCTCAGTAGCAAGGAGTCGATGAGTTGGCCCTAATGACCAATCTTGATTTCCCCATTCCTTGAATTGGCAGGAAAATGCAATGACATAATAGAAGTGAAGCTTTCAAAAAATTAAGGAAAAGGGTAAATAGATGAGATAAGTAAGACTAATAGCTGACTCCTTGTAGAGCCATCTATGCATAAAGACAATAGATAAAACTTTTATTACAGTGGGCATGGCATTGTAGTCTTGCCGCCCGCGCTCATTGGGTTAATACACCATTCATTAAAGTACCTCTTTCTTAAAGGTATACCCAGGGGAAAAGATGTCCAAAACTGGAAACACTTTTTTTCTTTTGTTTTCTTTTTTTTTAGAAGATATATCAAAAATTCCTATAAAAGAATTGGGTGGGCAAAAGCCTGTAACTCGCTCTCATATGCAGAGAGTTTGTGTAAATGCCAATGCCTGACCTGTAAACAGCACAGGAACAGGTACTTGACTTTATGTAAGGGGAGGATGGATGTGTGTTAGAGGGAACACTGCCCATGCAATCATATAAAAATAATTTGGGAACTTTTATCAGATTTCAAATGACAGTAACACACACAAGAATCAAGACAATGAACAAAATCTAATGGTACAACTCACAGGAAAAAATAACTATGATCCACCTAAATGGCAGTATTGGCTTGGGGTGATCCACAGCCTGTATTGGTCACACCTAGCTACTGCCCTGGTCATTGAAGGCTGGTAACATCAATGGTTCAAACATTTAAACTAGTTAAAAATAAATAATGATAGTAATAATGATAATAAATGAAATCAAATTAAAGTAGAATAATAATAATATAAAAAAAAGAGCTAGTAATAACATTAACCAGTCTAAAGTGAGCGACCAGCCATTGCGAGTATCGCCACCACTTTCGCTGTGGACATAACCTCTCTGTCTCTGACTATACAACATTTAGAATCTTCTAGAAAAGAGGGGCTCAAAATAGCTGATCGCATCAACACAGCCCTAGCACACCAACCTTGCCGCCCCTTCTCCCTTCGCTGTCTTCGAGTTTTGGTGCTGACAGCCTGTGGTATTTCTTGCACTCGGGAATAGCCATAGTCTCCCGCCTCGTAGTACAGGCCTGGCACAGCATCCTTGACCTGCTAACATACATTTCATTAGAAACTGCATAGCATGAAATTAAAACTCTTCTTAGTAATAACATTTTACAAGTACTATGATGTATCATTTCATCCAAAACCAACTTGGATACCATAACAATGTACTAGACATTAAACAAATGTTAACTGATTGAAAATAAGGAAAAAATAAATGATCAAAATTGCAAATAACAACAAAGCAGATTAACACAATCATATATAAGAATAGTAATATAATTAATAACTGCATTTATAAAAAAATCAAAATTAAGAATATTAATAAAAACAAACAATAACTGAAGTGACAATTGCAACATCAGCAGTGCAAAATAAGGTGAAAACACCAGCAAAAAAAACATATAATTATATACTCACTTCTACTGGGGGAAGGGAGAATAAAAACTAAAAGCTGTCAATGATGATAGGAAACTGATGCATGATAACATGAGCATGAGAAAAATAAATCAAGTCCGAACATAGTTACATGAAATGAATGATATAAAAGAAAAAAGAAACTGAAGGAAAACAGGAAGAAGAACAAGAAGAAGGGTGGCAACAGTTAGGGGAGTGTAAGAACCAACTACGACACAGAAACGAGAACTAACGAAGGAGAGGAGAGAGAGAGAGAGAAGGGGGACGGAGGAGTAAACGACCACGACTCGTAGGTGTTGGGACACTTGAGCGTACTCACAGCGGCGTAATCAGGGCCTAGGTCCATATTCTCAGGGGTGGCAAGGGGCGCGTGCACTGACCCCACTTTGGTTAGTTTAGAGTGTAGGCCCGCATCTTTGAGGTTTATTTTGCCAATTGCGTCAGTCACGTTGCTATAGGCCTTAAGGTTTAGTTTGCCAGGTTGCTGAAAGAGGGAAGGAATTGTTGGGTTAGTGATGAGCAACACTCAGGCATGAGAGAGAACAGGGAGAGAGGATCTAAAAGGGACTAAACAGGGTGGAGTGAAAAGGTGAAGAAAAAAAAAGGAAAAGAAAAAAGGAAAAGGAAACAAAAGGAAGAATGAGGGATGCACTTTTAGTGACAGAGGGGATGCAAACAGAGAATGACAGTGAGAGTGAGAACGACTGAAAGTAAAAGACAAAAGAAACAGTGAAGTGACAGGAATAAGGTGAGACGAATAGGAGGGCAAGCTAGTGACAACATACAAGATGAGGCATCAGACTGAATAGAGATAACACACACAAGAGTGACCAGAGAAGTGGGGCATGATGAGGGGCCAAACGGACCACACTCTGACATTACCTGCCACAACATGTAAAGGATAAAAGCACTAGGAGGATGCACTATGATGACGATGGCATGATGCTGATGGGTGGCTGGGGTATGGATGGGATCAGAGTCTAAATAAAAAAAGAACTAAGAATATGCTTGTAACAGAACAGAAACAAAAAAGCAAATAACTTCAAATAAGGATTATCAAACTCGATTTTACATCTCAAATGTAATTCAACAGGAGCAACATCAGGAAAACCACTAACAATACGCATGGGGGAGAAACAAAACCCTGAAACTATTCATTTTAGTTATAATTTTCCTTTTAGCCCTGAAGTTAAAATCCTGTCCACTCTACTTCTCGTCACTCACTTTTAGAACTTATAAAATGCTACTGAGTCAATTTCTGGATCTCTATATTCTCGCTTTCTCATCTCTTTATTCATGCATGTGTACACTTACAAACTCACTCTTTCTAACACAGTAAAAAAAGCTTTCAACTGCAATTATGTCTCCTTAAAAACATACAATATAACCTCAATAGAAGAAATAAGAACAAATTAATAACTAGCATAGTTTAAACTACATAAGATTATAGAGCAACAGATACAAGAACACACAAATTTAAACAATATGAACAATATGAATGAATAAACACATAAACGCACGCACGCACACACACGCACATGCACAAGCACACACATATGCTTGCACACACACTTACTATCACTCTCACACACACTCACTCACACTCACACTCACACTCACACTCTCAATCACATTCTCAAACACTCTCACTCACACTCTCTCTCTCAGACACTCACTCTCTCACACACATTTACATACAGCCTAACCCTACCCAGTCACCCACCCCACACACTCCCTCATTCAAATGCTTTAGCACACAAACTCCACAAGCATTCACATTAATTCATCAAGGGTTACTGACTCAAAGGAAAACAAAAATATTGGTGGAGTGGAAATAAATTCTGGATATAGGTAATGATCAGAAAAGATAGGGAAACATAATGGTGATAAGCATGAAATATGTAAACACAAGGAAACGAAAAAATATGGAAGACAGACATGCAATTTTCATCTGGCTGGGATGTCAAAGTGTACTGCAACATATTGACAACCAATGATTAAACTCACTTTGTTTTCTTCTTCTCTACTATGAAAGCACACTAATCTAAGTAGCTAGACCTAGTTATTACTACTGTATGAACCAACTTTGCTCATCTTCCTCTTGTAGAAAAGAACAATTACCAATGAGCAGGTAAACATGGTTTTTAGTATTAGCCTCTTAATGTAATGAAAATAAAAATTATATTCCAAATAATTATGTTTATAATGACAACATTACCACAAAACAAAAGCTGACCTATCACAAAATATCAAAGGGGCTTTTCAAGCCTACAGCAAATGTAATTATCACTTTTTTTAATTCTAAATATAGGCTAATTATAATGAAGTATATATGCTACAGCCAGGCCTTGTAGAGCTATATGATCACAAATATCTTTATCACATAATTTGGCTTCAATACATTATCTATTCCTGAATTAGAGGTGAACTGCAACCATAGCTAAAGGGTTCTTTTTTGAATGATTTGATACTAACTTGTTCTTAGCATAAGCCTATTGATATCTAATTTATGTAAAGGTATTGTGACTTTCCCAGCCAGAAAAAGGCCAACTGTTAGTAGGCTGATAATCACTCACTACACACGGGTGCTAAAAACAGATGAGTGTAATGTATGAGCAAGTTTGAACAATGGTATAAAAATTCATTTAGCTAACTCTTTGAAACAGCAACAAACAAAACAAAGCATTCTAAAATGAACAACAAAAAAAAAAAAAATTAAAAACAACACACAAATCATACTGGAAATCCAGCTAACTCCTTAAAACGACTGTTCAACTTACTCATAAACCCAACTCTCACAAAATATATGGCACTTACATCAAGTGTTTCAGCAAAGAATCACCACTTAAGAGAGGACATAGCTTAAACTATCATACAGGGATATTAACTGTAGCTCCCTTTACATCTGTTAACTCAATATTGGAACACAAGTCACGTAAAAAGTGGTTAATCATTACTAGAACACTTTAAGTCATCTACTTTAGGAGAGGGTATCACTAGTCCAGCCACTCCTAAACAACAGGTGGTCAAGGTGAACATCACTTTACAGTAGTTCATCACACCTTATACAAAGTAGCAGGTAGTATAGGAAATATACCATCTTGAGCTCCACCTACTGATTTCAATCACCGTGTACTGAATGTAATTTTTAGGATATTGTTTTGATGAGATCTTCAAAAAATCTCAAGTGTATCCCAATTTGTCATTCCAGCCAATTTTCTATTCTTGCTCTATGAAGAAGAGTATGTGCATGACTTCTGTAATTTTCTCTTTTCACTACTGATAACACCAACAGACTTCAATCCAGCAGTCCTTTAATGTTGTTCAGGAGGGCATGCCAATTTATATCATGCAATGAAACAGTTTAACTGCAAGGGCCCATTTCCAGTCTGGCAATGTGGACCTGCTTTTTCATACTAAGGAAAGTCTGTTAGTGTAGATCAGCAGGTAGTTAGTTGTCATGCATATTTCATAGCTATGAAGGATAGCTCCATCCCCCTCTTGCTAGTCGTTATAGGACAGAACAAGAACCTAAGCTTACAGGTTAATCGTAAGCTAGTCTGCACAAACAAACTACATTTCGAAGGAAGAAGTGAATACTTGCAGATGTGACTCAACAGAAAATACAGCTTGTCAAAGACAAACAAAGTACTAGAAGCAGGAAAACTGGTTTTTGTGCTAGTCTGGGGAGGAGGGTGGAGCAACCCACAAAACACACCTTGTTCGTGACCTGACATACTGCCTCACTCAGCGTCTGGAACGTCTGCAAGTCAGGAATGGGTATGGGTCAAATTTGCAACCCTTGCCTGTATGACTGACACATGGGCACTTTTGCACAAGGACCTGGTAATGTTTAACAGGTTTTGGTTTACAGTATTATATCTATAAAAAGTCAATCCTTGCTTACATATCAAACACATGCAATATCACTGACTTTGGTAGACTGAATAAAGGGCATAACATGGCAACACTATACATGATGCAACAAACCAGGTACCAATCAGCCCCTTTTTCAAGATCTGCTTTAATGTTCTAACAGTGCATCATATGCATGTCATACCTTTTTAAAGCCAAAATTCTTTTACCTTACATCACAAATTTCAATCTTTTATAGCATTCACAAGGAATAAAAGCTTTATTTGTTCATATATCCTTACAGAATTTACAACCTGAGAGATAACTGTAAAATATTTCTACAATCTTCAAGCACTCTATAATAATGTGAGCATTACCTGTGGCCCTTAGTGAATGACATACAATCAGTAGGTGATAAATCATAACACCTACAAAACATGGAATCCATCTAATGTTCAAGAGTCTTCACTGCTAGTTAAGGAATATATCTATCTATATGCCTGAATAACTTACAGCTAACAAAAATAGATTGTGTACAGGTACTTGTGTGTGTTTTGCTATGTATGAAGGTAGGTAGGTAGGTAGGTAGGTAGGTAGGTAGGTAGGTAGGTAGGTAGGTAGGTAGGTGTGTGTGTGTGTGTGTGTGTGTGTGTGTGTGTGTGTGTGTGTGTGTGTGTGTGTGTGTGTGTGTGTGTGTGTGTGTGTGTGTGTGTGTGTGTGTGTGTGTGTGTGTGTGGTGTGTGTGTGGTGTGTGTGTGGTGTGTGTGTGGTGTGTGTGGTGTGTGTGGTGTGTGTGGTGTGTGTGGTGTGTGTAGTGTGTGTGGTGTGTGTGGTGTGTGTGGTGTCTGTGGTGTGTGTGTATGTGTGTGTGTATGTGTGTGTGTATGTGTGTGTGTGTGTGTGTGTATGTGTGTGTATGTATGTGTATGTATGTGAGTGTGAGTGTATGTGTATGCGTATGTGTATGTGTATGTGTATGTGTGTGTATGTGTATGTGTGTGTGTGTGTGTGTGTGTGTGTGTGTGTGTGTGTGTGTGTGTGTGTGTGTGTGTGTGTGTGTGTGTGTGTGTGTGTGTGTGTGCATGTGTGTGCATGTGTATGCATGTGTATGCATGTGTATGCATGTGTATGTATGTGTATGTATGTGTATGTATGTGTATGTATGTGTATGTATGTGTATGTATGTGTATGTATGTGTGTGTGCGTGTGTATGTGCGTGTGAGTGCATGTGTGTGTCTGTGCGTGCGTGTGCATATTTTAAGATGCACCAGTAAGCATGGTATGATTTTAATCTAATAATGAAAAAAAATACCCTAGGCTCTGTTATAAATGGATAAAAAAAAATCCACAAAGTATTGGTCAATTTCTAACAGGTTTAAACTAATTTCTCCAAAGACGACTTTGCCTACCCTCATTCACAAAAGTAATTCACAATTAGTAATACCTAACTTTAGTCAATTTCACAGAGACTTAATTGTTTACTTGAGAAATATTTTTTCTTACTATTCATGTTTTCTATAAATAAAAAGAAATATTTGCATTACTTAGTTAATGATAAAATTCTTCTAAAACTTTGTATTTCAGGCCATTATATGTATAAACATAAAAGCAACATTTCCCACAAAATTAACATTCACAAATCTATTGCGGGCTATTTTTTTTCAAGCAAGTATAATACATGACCACATGTACCAGTACGTTGTTACTGTAACTCCAAGATAAACAAGTGTGCGCTAAATACAAATACATGGACAAAAACTCCATACTAAGGCACAGGAACTCAATAAGAGCAATAACATAAAAAAAACATGCCATGTTATATAAAGCACATATATAAAGCCTCTATCCCATAACTGAAACAAGTCACTGAAGCAAATTTATTTTGGACTAAAACCAAAAAAATGTACAAACTTATTTAAATTGAACAAGATTCACACATAAAAAAAAAATTAAAGTAAAATAAATGAAAACATTTTCAAAACAAGAAATTGATTAAAAAAAAAGAAAAAAAGGAGAAAATCCTAAAATGCCTCACGGGATTGCGTCACGAACACTCACTTTGAGGGTCTGGCTGGCCTTGGGTCGTGGCTTGGTTGGAGGTGGGGGGAGTTTACCACGTCGGCCAGTGGTAAAGGACTGGGGTCCGTAGCCTTCACCCCAGAAGTCCTCGTGCCGCCGGGAGCATACACTTTCATCCACCCAGCCTGATAAAATAGCTTGAAATATTAGTAAAAGGACAAGGGGGATAATGGATATCAATATACATGAACTGACTACATTAAAAATATCATAAAGAAAATTACTTTACCTAGTTCAATCATTATTTCAAAAATAAAAAATAAATAAATAATAAACAAATAAATAAATAACGACAATAATAGTAATAATAATTATAATAATTAGAACAAGGCACATTTCATAAGTTCTATGTGGTTTTTGTACTATGATCAACACCATACATGCAGTGGTCTAAATGCAAATGTTGGCTTTTCAAGTGCTGTCACAGCAACTAAACATGAAATACCAAAAATAAACACCAAAAAAAAAAAGTATATAACTGTTACTTTACTCATACGGACTACCATACATACACCAATGTCTTTCTAACTACCAAAATTAAATGGGAGGGGAAAAAAATAAGATTTCCCTTTTTATCTAATGGAGTTTATGATATTCCTCTGTGAAAAGAGAGAAGAGATGAATGAAATGAATAAAGGAAAGAAGGGAGGTTGGGAGGCATGAAAGAAGCAGAGGGAAAAAGGGGAAAGAAAGGAGAGGAAAGAAAAGAAGAAATGAAGAAGGGGAAAAAGGGGGAGGGGGGAATTTAAAGAAGGATATGAAAGGCTTCTATAGAAGAAATTAAATAGTATAAAAATGTAGCTCAAGAAATACAGATGCTGATTGGCAAATGGACAACTTGATAGGTGAAAAGACTGACAAAGAAAGAGACTGCTGAAGATAGAGGAATAGACAACAGGTTCATACAAGCTGAAATAAATAACCAGAGGAAAATCATTACAAATAAATACAAGAAAATACATACATAAAAATACTCAAGCACAATATCATATAAAATTTTATCTATGCATTTTTTTAACAAAGAAAATAGGTGATAATGAAAAAAGACAAAACCAGCAAAATATAGAGCCAGCCATAATCATGCAGGCCCATTCTGTCCAGGGAGAGAGGGAGCCTGAGTACGTAAATGTTTTTCATCCTGCCTAACTTGTCACAGCAGATGCACGAAAATCAGTTGGTGCCTGAAAATTCTGCACACTGAAGCCTGCTGCTAGTCTGCCTTTAGCTCAACCAGATCTTGCTATCAGCCATGTTGACAAAGTCTTTTAGTTTACATTTATAAAAAGTCGATAAAACTCATCACCAACAAGTTATTGTCAGATAACCGATACAAGTTGTCAGTGTAGTGGTCTGGTATATGCTATATTTATCCAAGAAGCTGCTTATGTGTGTGGGGATCTTATTCAAAGAACAATCCCCCACCCTTTTCCATCAGCTAGACAGACCGGACCTACAAATATATGGCCAGCTTAAGCTTAAGAACTTTAAAGTTATGTCATATGCTCACTGCACATGAAATTCCCTTTAAACAATACTGATAATCAATAATAAACCAAATAAAATAAAAAATAATAAAATAAATATCATTTCTATTATCATGATATTACCATCAACCACAACTATTTCACCTAAATTAATCCCCATTGAATGCATAAAACAAACTTTGTTTGCCTTTAAAACATAAGAAAAATAAAAACATATATGGTAATTAAACAATAAAATCCAAAATTACTATTTATAGTGATGGAAGACATGCATACCCACATCAACTATACATATATTTGAAACAGAATCCTCATACAACCTAAAATGTATGACAAAAAAAAACAAAAAAAAAAAAAAAAAAAAAAAAAAAAAAAAAACAGACTAGTCCATTTGCCAAGATGCACATATCTCATAACAGTAAAATGAGCGAGAGGGATAAACAAGGAGAATATCCTTCATTGATTTTAAAATGATGCAAAAGAAGCTGGAAATGTATCCCTCGCAGTATAGCAGCCAAATTATTTCAAAAACTAGCAAAGGAGTCACAAAAACTATTTTCAAAGGCTAATCACAAAGAAATGTCTCCTCTGCAAAATATGCAATTTCAAGATTAATTTCAGTTAATTACTTTATATAAAAAAAAAAAAAGGAGAAAAGGAAGAGAAAAAAATATAATATTACTCAGAGTACATATAGTGTATGTGTACATTTTGTGTGTTGTTTGGAGTGTATGGTGTGTTTGGCTTTTCTTTGCATGTGAATACTTTTGTATATGTATGTATGTGTGTGTGTGTGTGTGTGTGTGTGTGTGTGTGTGTGTGTGTGTGTGTGTGTGTGTGTGTGTGTGTGTGTGTGTGTGTGTGTGTGTGTGTGCATGCACGTGGGCTAAACACTAAAAAACAGAACTATCAACTTATTACATAATCTACATAAATGTACTGTGAAATATGTAAACGGTAAAGCATTTATTACATTCCTCTTTCAAGACTAGTAACAAAAATTAACATTCCAGTATAAAAATACTGAAACAAAATAGTAATCAATAAAACAAAAATAAATAAATAAATGAATAGTAACAATGATGATGATGATGATGATGATTATGATGACGATGACGATGACAATGACGATGACGATCAGTAACTATAACTATAATAAAATAATAATAATAATAATAATAATAATAATAATAATAATAATAATGATATTTTACTTTAAAACTTATCAGGAAAATTATTCCATTTCACAAAAAAAAAAATTGTTAAGAACTTGCGGAGAGGACTATTCCGCTGAAAATAACATAACGCAAAAAACACTACAAGACATAAACAGACATAAAACCAGTCGCATGACCTCCCAGATGCTTAAATAAATCTAAGAAAAAGAAAGATTTAGAAAATACCAACGCTATGGAATTTGTGCATCTAAAGTCAGTAGTACAATACCTACTGCTTCTGAATGATTACACAAATGCAAAGGAGGACAGTGATAGGTACTTGTAAGAGGAGAGAGAGAGAAGACACCGAGAAAAGGGCTGCAGCGTCACCTCAACCTAGTGAAAAAATGTCTCAATAGGAACTGCCGAGTAAAGCAGGCATGGGAGGGAGGGATACATCAAGATGCAGAGATAAAATTCACCTGAATCGCGTGTGGTGAGGGAGTCGCGCGATCCACTCAGGTCCGCTAGTAAATAGAGAGGTAAATTGAGGACGTGTATTTTGGTGGTGTGTTCATCTTATTGACAAACATTAAAGCTATTTCATTCTTGATCAAAGAAGAATAAAGAAACTAGGAGTATACAATCAAGTATTAAAGTTTGGTCCTCTACTCTCTGATTACAAATTTAATAAGGCAAGAACATTACGTTAAATCATTTCAACTCGAGTCTAATGGAAAATGACGTAGACACTACAGAGTATAGTGTTCTCGACTTACAGCACTTCATACATTCAGAGAAATGAAAACACACATTCTTTAAGAGTACACACACGGATATGTACATGAATCTTAAATGTTTAGACTGTGATGGGGAAGAATAGTTAAGAAATAAAAAATCACTATTATTTGCCATGCACGGAAAGGGATTAATTTAGATGAACAACTTGGACACCAAAATGTAAATGACCTTTTTATTATATCTTATATTCCACAAAGCCTCTTAAAAGTACATATTGACTGGTTTGTCTTTACTTCACACTTCACATTATATTTATTCTATTATTTTACTCAAGACATTCAAAAGACAAAGTATAAAGGAAAACTGAGAATAAATTATGGTAATTTAGAACAGGTATACAAGGTCAAAAGCAGGGGAAAATTTGGGGAAAATTTGGTTTTGAAAGCTTGGGTTACACTGGCCTTATATGACTCTGGAACCTAACTCGGAATGAGGTTTATAACACTTTTGCCAAGGCTTAAGCTATCCTAGGAAATTGGGTAGTCAGACTTATAGTATTCTTTGCCTGGTTCCAGCTTTTTCCAAGGGACAATGAGGATTTGTTATTAACGATCATCTTTAATAAAATGTAAATGTTATGTAGTTATAAAATCATGAACAAGATATTTACATGTTTTTATCTAACATAGATCTTTTCAATTTCCCTGCTTTTTGGCCTGCAATTGTTAGGAATCACTATTTTCTTTTTCTAATGAACTAATAAGCCAAGAAATTGGAGGAATATGGCAGAGGCTAATTAATCTTTTGATGCCTAGGCCAGGGTTATGCAACTGAAAATGACCCAACAGGAAACTGGGCTGCTGTGGGTGGTTCAGCAACCGGGAATAAGTAGAAGCAGTGGAACCCAGGCTCAAGACGGGCCTTTATAAGAAGATTAGCGCTTTGTAAACCATGTATGATCCTTCAACAGGACTAGTGAAGACAAACAAAAATGACTATAAATGTTAACAAATGTCCCCACACCACAGTCTGCACATTCAAGCACCTAAAGTCTATAGTAAACACTGGTCATAGCTATTTATGTAATTTCTGCCAGGATCTATCTTATCATCATTATTGTATGATTAGGAAAACATATACAAAGGGGCAATATACATTAATTTTCTATTTTCTTCTACCTTTTCTTGGAATTTGTTTTCTAAGTGTACAGGATAATTTTCTTTGCTATCTGAAGTTTAAATAAAGAAGGGTTTTCTCAGGTAGTTATAAATAAAATAATCAGTTGATTAAACTAATAACCTGACTATTATTCATTTGTTGTCTAAAGTTATACACACAGGTCCAAGCTGTCTAATTAGATTATAGAGGAAATACTGAAATGTAAACTACAAAAAAAAAAAGGATTATAATGCAAGTATGTCTGAAGCCATACACACATACTCATATATACACACTATATGTACATGTATTATATATATACAGTATATATATATATATATATATATATATATATATATATATATATATATATATATATATATATATATATATGTACTGTATATACAGTACACATTATATATATATATATATATATATATATATATATATATATATATATATATATATATATATATATATATATATATATATATATATATATATATATATATATATACTGTATATACATACATGCATTATATATATATATATATATATATATATATATATATATATATATATATA